TTCGGGACACAGACTTTTACAAGGAGAGGAGAATGTGCCTATGGCGCTCCCACATCGCAAGCTGAGGAGAACGAAAACTTTCTTATATGGGGATTGATGATTCATCAACTTAATGAAGACCTTTTGGATAGAATTTATGTCTTTCACCAAAACAAATCCTTGTGAGTTAGGACGAAAGAGGACATTATCTACTAGCTCGTGTTAACCTAGGATATTACATACAATTTCATTTCATATGATGGGGGAGCAATAGTCCAATACGGGTTTTTTTGAAAATTTTATTATTAACTAGATGGAAGCTCGTGCGATGCACGGTTTTTTCATCTAAGATTTTAATTATTTGATTTTTTGTATTTAATAATTTTAGACAAAATTACAAAAGTTTAATATTTTTTTTTACTATAATTTATAATGAATTTATTAAATATAAATAAATTGGAAATATGATATTTTTTCCGCTATATAAAATCTTTAATGTGAAATGATAAATTTTTAATAATTTAAATCCTAAATCATTATTCATTGTTTTACCATATCTTTTATTTCGATAGAATCACCAACCTCGTCCACAACCAACCTACTACATCAATGGATAAATTGAACCGTGAAATGTTAGCCAAACTGAAATTGATATAAATTAAATCTTTACATTTATATAAAATAAATCAATATATTTACCAATAAATGAAAAATTGTTGCGCTATAAAATCAAATCTATGTATTGGAATTTTTCCATCATCTCCAAAAATAACCAAAGCCATCCATATATTAAGTATACAACATCTAATCGTATGCCATTACATAAACAAATAATCATTAAGTATCCTTAATAAATACAATGTAACTAATAATTACAAATATAAATTTAAACATAAGATTTTAAAAATTACTCGGACATTGATGACCTAAAACTAACATAAAATTCGCTTGATGGGGTTTTGTATTGATACGAAATTTTATTTGTGTCGTATGATGTGTTAGATCTGCATGTAAAAAAACATTTAGTAAATAAAATATAAACATATAATCGTTGAGTATCTTAAATTAATACAATGTAAGTAATAATTAGAAATACTAATTTAAACATAGGATTTTAAAAAATTAAGCTAAAAATTATCCAGCCATTGATGACCAAAAATTAACACAAAATTACTAACACAAAATTCGCTTGATAGGGTTTTTTATTGATACGAAATTCTGTTTAGGTCGTATGATGTGTCAATTTATAATGGTAGGTATCACAAATTTTAATTTAATTATAATTAGCGAACAATTTGTATTTCTTATCATAAATACTATCAAAATTTATCTTATAATGATAGGTATCAAACTTTATTATAAGCGTTTATCATTTAAATATTTTTTAATATATTTTTTTGGATTTCTTATACTCGTAGTATTGAATTAATAAATTTATCTTTTCCTATATTTTTCCTTTATTTTTTTCATTAAAATAATTTAATTCGTGGATTATAATCTACGTGGCATTAAAATTTTAGATATATCAAATCCAACCTGTTACTTTTATCTAGGTGGTGACATAAATTTTTAACTCAAAAATAAAATACAAATCTTTCTTCTTATTGGTCGAAATAAGTATATTTCTTACGTGGCGCTCCGAACGCTCTTCAAAAATGCCTACTTTAACACACACACACACACACACACACACACACACATATATATATATATATATGTGTGTGTGTGTGTGTGTGTATATATATATATTAGATTATTAGTTTTTTTTTTTTTTTTTTTTTGGTGTTTAGAGAGCCACAAGGGCAGGTGATGAGAATCGATCCCAGGATCACCTGGAACCGGGAGGAGAGCTTTAACCACTTAAGCTATCCCTCACTCTCAATTATTAGGAAATTTGCCTATGGGTTTTTACCTTTTACTTGAAAGGATTTTTCCTATTTTTAGGCTTTAAGAGTTTTACTTATTGGAATATTTAGTTGTTTAATTTATTTATGGTAGGATAGATTTACTAGTTGATACAAATATGAGTATGAAATAAATTAGGATTAGGATTCTTAATATTCTATGTTATTTTAGGATATGATTATTAATTTGCTATCTTATGTTTGTATGGTTTTCACGCTATAAATATGGGTGCATATCAATAATGATTTTGAATATGAATGGATGAGAGATTTGTTTTGGAAATTAATCCTTTAACCATTGCTCGTTTGATTGTTAATAAAAAACACCACTTGTTGCGACTAGGAAGAGACCCTCTATTCTTGCGAGAATTAGAGTACTATCCTATTAATTTTCGTGTAATTCTTTAGTTCTTGCTAAAATTCGAAGATCTAATGTTATTATAGCTTGCGACCCTTGTGAGGTCTTGAGAGATCCACATCATAATGGTATCAGATTTTCAGGTTTTGTGGGTCCTTTTGGCACTTACGGGATTTTGGCGTGTTGGTTTCGTTATCATGTTTCAAGATTTGAGAAAATTCGAGGCGGATTTTTTTCGAAGAAGGGGAGTATGATGCGTGAGCAATAGTCCAATATGGGTTTTCTTAAAAATTCATGGAGTTTTTAGAAAGCTTACACTATCTTTTAGCTATTATTAATTATTAGGAATTTTGCCTATGGGTTTTTACCTTTTACTTGAAAGGACTTTTCCTATTTTTAGTCTTTAAGACTTTTTGTTACTAGAATATTTATTTGTTTAATTTATTTATGGTAGGATAGATTTAATAGTTGGTTACAAATATGGGTAAGAAACATATTAGGATTAGGATTCTTAATATTCTATCTTATTTTAGGATATGATTATTAATTTCCTATCTTATGTTTCACCATATAAATATGGGTGCATATCAATAATGATTTTGAATATGAGTGATAGAGAGATTTGTTTTGGGAATTACTCCTTTGAGCGTTGCTCGTTTGATTGTTAATCAAAAACATCACTTGTTGCGACTTGTAATCATCTTCTAGTTGCAACTAGGAAGAGACCCTCTATTCTTGCGAGAATTAGAGTATTATCCTTTTAATTTTTGTATAAATTCGAAGATCCAATGTTATTATAGCTTGCGAGCCTTAGAGATCCACGTCATCATAAACCAAGATAACACAACTACATAGTACATATCATTTTATGCTGGATGCTATCAAAAATTTTTGATATGAAATCCAAGGTGATTTTCATATCTTTAGTAATCAATAATTTAGAAAACTAATTAATTTGTATTTTATAACCGTCACTTTTTACATTAATGAAAAAATAAAATGTGAATAGCAATACTATTGGTTTCAAAAGATATTTTTATAAGAAAAAGTAATTCTAAAATATCAAACAACTTTTGGTCTATAAATAGCTTAATGTGTTTAATTTATAATCAATTCACATCCTTCTTCAAAACACTTTCACTCAACGCAACCATGTCTAAAGTTGAAATTATTGTGAGTGACCTTGTAAGAGAGATATGAATTGTCTAGTTAATATGGGCAAAAACTCTTATCATAATTAATCCCAAAAATGACAGAAAACAAAGGGAGAAAGCTCTTGAATTGGAGAAAATGTTTATGGAAAAACAAAAAGAAATGCACGAGGAGAAGCTTCTCAAGTTGAAAAAGGAACATCATCATCGAATTAATAAGAAGAAAAATTGTGGAATTCACATTCAAAAAAAGAAGAAAATATATTAAAAGCTTTTCTTTTGTAGAGTTGCAGGATATTACTGTCTTATGTGATGAGAAATTGAAGGAGTTTTGAGGAGTGCTTACCTAAACTAATCAAAACATATATTTAGGATTACTTGGCTTTGTTTCTAAGCATGTTAAGTTGTACTCCTTTCCTATGGGAAATGTATGAATAAAAATTTGATCTTTTATTTTCCGTTAAATGCCTTCTTTAGAATATGTTTAAAGTTTTAATTGGTTTTCTTTACTTCATCGTTTCTTAGTTACTTTACGTGTTCAATTAAAATTTAACACCCTCAGTTCTCACAGTAAATCCATTTACGTAGTATATATTGTCGCAACAAAGATTACATATAAAATTTTCAAAATAGTCTAATATTAACTTTATGGCAAAAAATTGAATCTTTCATATTGTAGGTTATAATTATTAATTGTAAAGTTACATGATATACATCTATTAACAATAAACATTTTTTTTTTTTACATTGATACTTGTACTCATGATCTCGTGTTAATTAAATTTAAGTTTTACCACTAGTCTAACAACACATTATATGTCAATTAAGTCATATTAAAAAGAGTTAATAATGAATTTTAAATATTTAATGTTCACTTATGCATGTATATATCTAATCACAATCATACATTGGGATATAAATATATGTTACTCCCTCCGTATTTAAATAAATAAAATGTTTCTCTTGCGAATATATGCCAATGCAAATCTTTGATTGATAATAACTTTAATTATCAATAAATAAATATTATAACAATTGAATGTTAATAAACTATTTATTGAGGCGATTCCAACAAGTACCCACAAGATTATATTTATTCTTATGTATAAATCACAAACATTAGTCTAGTCAATTAGATAAATAGTGAAAAAGACAAAGAGTTTATATCAATTTTGAACTTCAACCATCAATTTAAGTTTTTAATTGAGTTAAACCTCTAACATAATATAAGTGCGACATGGCATATAATTGGCCTTGTTTGGTAAAGAGTTTTTTGGAGAGCTTTTAGCTTATTATACCATATTAGAGGTTTGACTATTTATAAAAGCTAATTTGGGTGTTTAGTAAATAGCTTATTAAAAGAGCTTTTTGGGCTTAAAAAACTCTTTTACAAAAATCTCATTATAAAAGCTATTTGAAATGAACTCATTGAACAATTAGCTTTTTGGCTAAATACATTAAAACAACTAACAATTAACAGCTATTTACCAAACAATTTTGTAAAACTAGTTAGTCAAACCAGCTAACAACTACTGTAGTTATATCAATCAGCCATCAGCTAATTACCAAAAATAAACAATAACACCGGACATTGGCCAAAAGCTAATTAAAGAGTTAGGCCACTTTGCCACTCTCACAAACAAACGGAAGGTGTATATGAAACAATTCTTTTGGATTTTCAATAATACTGTACGAGTACAATTTACGAATCAAAAACCAACCAAAAAAAGAACAAAAACGCAAAAACTCTGTTACAAATTCCTTTCTTATGGAAGAGAGATTAATGGACCAGGAACATCCACCCTCTCCAAAACTCTAAAATCCCATCTATTTTATTTATTATTTATTATAAATATACCATGTAATTCTAATTTCCATCTCCCAATCTCCTCATTTTCTCTCTCCTCGATTTTGAATGAACCTGGACTAAAAATGGCGGAAGGTGAGTTTTTGTTTTCCAAGGAATTGGATGTTGCTGTTCGAGTTGTTCATTTGGCTTGCGCTTTATGCCAGAGAGTTCAGAATAGCTTGCTTTCCACTAATGCTTCCCAGGTCAATTCTAAAGATGATGATTCTCTTGTCACCGTTGCTGGTAATTCTCTTTACTTATTTATATTTATATTTTTTTGGTTTTTATGATTTGGGTTTCATGAATTTTGGCATGAGGTGTTTTGTTTGATGGGTATGCTTCAATTGTACGAATGTTTTCTGGGTTTTTTTTTTTTTTTTTTTTTTTTTGCATTGTTTTGGTTTTATGATTTTAATGGCAATGTGGGTTGATTATGAAATTTTGTATGATGCTGTTATGCTTTGATAATTTTTATTTTTGATAATTTGGGTGCCCTTTAATGGAGTGTTTGATTAAATAGTTTTGATTATGTTGCATTGCATTAGTATTGCTCATTTGATGATGGTGTTTAAATGGGGATGCCTTTAGATTGCTTTAATGGAGGGTTTGGTTACATTTTTCTTACTAATTTTGATAATCTTGCATTAGTATTGATTATTTGATAATGGTGTCTCAATGCGAATACCTTCAGATTGAATGTCTGTTATACATACACTTGGGTGTCTTAAGAAATGATAATGGTTTGAAGTGTTAATTAATTATACAAAGGTTTGAACTTTGAAGGCTGTTATTAATTTCTGACTTTCCATGGTAAAATTTTGCATGATTAGCCAATTAGTGAAATACAATCTGCCGAAGAAAGTGATGTAATGGAGTGTAAGACTCACAATTTTTTTTGAAGTATCTCTCTAGTGAGGCCTTTCAAAGAAGTCCTATCTATGTCTCTGGAGGTTACTTTCTTTCGAAAAGGACAGAATGGCAACTCATAAAATGACTGTGGGTAATGTTGTGTATGCCCTGTCGTGTAGTCGTGTCAAGTCGTGAATCAGAATTAGAACTTTTCTGGTTTAATTATAGCTTGGTAAAAAAAAAAAAAAATTATACACCCGAGTGCAAGGTGTACTTAAAGTTTTTATTTTTGGCTCATTATAAAATTTTAAAATGAGCAAAAAAAAAAAAAAAAAAAAATCAAATGAGGTGCACCCGGGTGTATATAAAAGGATTTGATAGCTTGGAAAGATGTTCTACCACTAGCTTATTTAAACACTAAATCATAGGAGTATTATTTTTTAGTTTTGAAGATTGTCTTACCTTTGCTTGAACAGCATTGGTGTTTCAATGTCAGTTTTTTTTGTTTGTTTGTTTGTTTTTTTTTTTTTCTTTTTTCTTTTTTTGCAATTAATTTTTAAGTTATTTTGGTTTTGTTAATTGATGGATAGCCTTTTCAATTGTGTATTCATTCAAATTTGACTTTATATTCGTGTTATGCTTTGTGCACATGAATTTGATGACAGATCGGCATTACTGCATGAACAGATTATAGTGTACAAGCTGTTGTTAGCCAGATACTGTCAGAATCTTTCGGAAGCCAAAATTTGTCCATTGTTGCTGAGGAAGATGCACAAACTCTCTCAAAGTCTGACTTATTGCAGGCAGTGGTGAATACAGTGAACGAAAGCTTCTCAGAAGCTCCTAGGTTTGGTCTTAAAGTCTCAAATATTCCTCTTTCCCCCAACCAAGTGCTTGAAGCCATTGGTCGATGTAACTCTTCTGGTGGTCCTAAAGGAAGACATTGGGTTTTGGACCCTGTTGATGGAACCCTGGGCTTTGTACGTGGCAATCAGTATGCGGTTGCCCTAGCGTTGATCGAGGAGGGAAGGGTAATACTTGGAGTCCTGGGGTGCCCCAACTACCCAGTGAAGAAGGGTCTAGTGAACCACCATCATCAACTCGCATCAGAAATGTCCTCTGCCTCTCCTGATATGTGGGAGAAGGGCTGTGTAATGTATGCAAAGAGAGGCACTGGTAAGGCATGGATGCAGCCATTAATTCATGGAGAATTGAAGCTTAAATCCTTTCAATCTGCGAGAAAAATTCAAGTTTCCTCCGTTAAGGATCCAGCTCTTGCAACATTTTGTGAACCAGTGGAAAAAGCCAATACCAGTCATTCTTTCACAGAAGGGGTAGCTCACTGTGCAGGACTTAGGTGGGTGTATTTGAATGTTTGTGTGTGTGTGTGTGACTACCAAAAGAATACTCTATTTTCACTGATGATGTTCTCATTGTTTAAGCCTTGAGGTGAAGTTAATCTCATATCAATCATGAAATGTGAAGTCATGAATATATTAAGACATCATTTGTCTAGATCACATGTCCATATATAATATGAAGTATGAAATTAGGCGTGTTCTCAACCTGCTCGCACATTTAACTTAGTATTTTAAGGATTGGTTTGTATTTTTCTTTTGTGTTATTTCGTTTGTCCTGTAATTATATGCACTTTTTTTTTCTCTGCTATATATGAGAATAATCTTCTTAAACTTGAATGCTTTGGTGGCAATTTTATCGATGCAGTTAAATAATACACTTGTAAATCTTAACTTGGTTCATACATGAAAGGCTTGTTACCTCCCTGATAACTCGTACTTTAATGTCATCATTGTTTATTCATTGAGTTCTACAGTTTGTATTTGAACCTTATGGCTTCAATTTATTAAATTGTTTCCAGGAAGAAGCCTTTGCGTGTATATAGTATGGTGAAGTATGCAGCCATAGCTAGGGGAGATGCAGAAATTTATATGAGGTTTGCTACGGCTGGCTATAAAGAGAAGATATGGGATCATGCTGCTGGTGTGCTTATTGTACAAGAGGCTGGTGGTGTGGTCACTGATGCAGGAGGACGCCCACTGGACTTTTCAAGGGGAGTGTATTTGGAAGGTCTTGATCGTGGAATAATTGCTTGTTCTGGAGCTGTATTACATGAGAAAATTATAGGTGCTGTTGATACTAGTTGGGAATGCTCTCTCCTGTGAATGTGGGAGTATCTGCATTGAAGAAGGTAATATGTCGTAGTTAAATCCTTCTTTCTTATTTCTTGCTATTGGTTCATCTTTTAGCCTCAGCAAGTGAGTTATGGCTATTTTTTCATATAAACAAAGATTTTATATTAGTGAGGCATTCATTTTACCATATGTTGGAGTGTTGAGAATCTGACAGTCCCTTACCTTTCATATTGTCCACTAGAATTACCAAACCTTGTGAGTGATTAAAAAAGGGGGAAACTACAATATTAATTCTTAACAATGCCTATGAGTTGGTAGTTTGGTCACTGTTGAGGCCGGAGACCAAGGCAATGGTGTAGATAGGCTTCGATTCCACTTCCTTTGCTTGATTATCACCTCCTAGAATTATGCATGCACATTTCAGCTCCTATAGTTTCTATTGTAATGGGTGTTAGCAGCTGAGACCATCTTTCAATGCCTTTCTTACAGCTGAACTGCATTTTTGAGGTTTCTGCCGCTGCTTCTTCCAGTGAACTCAGGAAGGATGCCCATGAAGAACCAGTAATAACTTCCTGCAAAGACAAAAAAAAAAAAACCTTCCTGCAAAGACCGCCCAAGCAACTAGTGCAGTTGCTTTTCCATTTTTTCGCTTCAAACAAGCGTCTAAATTTGTGGAACTGCTCGATATTTTTTCCTTGGTATCAAGTTGCACTTGTTGAATTTTGTTGGCTAAAAGAACAGATTTATCTACAGTTAATGCATTAATTCTCTTTGCAGTTGTTACCTGTTCTAAACCAATGTTCTATTTGAGGATGTATTGAGATGCATACATTGAATAAGAAAACACTAATTTTAAAAATGTTTGAGAAATTCCTTCACGACTATTATCTAGTTTGGATTTTTACAGCAACAGAACAAACATGGATAAAGAAGAGAACAAGAGATAGAGATGCTTAAAATAACTGCAACCTCGCCTCAATATTTCATAAAATTTCGGTCACAACTGCTCTTAAATTGAAATGAACGTTTATAACACCTACTTCAAAGAATCAGAGTATAGTGTTATTACTATCAACATAAGCATGAACTTTCTTTTCAACTTTACACACAAGTAACGTGTCGTCATTCATATGCTTTTAACATCTCATTTAGACAATTCTCCCAGGCATCAATGTCATCTTCTCCTCTTAGATTTGTTGCCTGTTCGACAATTTTGAGAGGCACACCCCTACATTGCTCAACAATTTTTTGGGCTACTTTTTCTATTGGAGGCTTAAGCTCGAATGCTTGTTGCACCTGATTAAATAGATCCAAGGCTTCATCATACGGAAGTGGATCGATTGTTATTATATTGTTCTGGCACCCAATTTTTCGACACACATCAGGAGATCGTGAAGTGATGATCATTTTTCCTGTTCCTGCACCAAGCGGAATCCCTACCTTATCTTCCGAGAGATATTTCTTCAAGCCATCTAATATCAGCACAAAGTTCCTTTGTCGCAATGCTCGATGCAAAAAAGCTGCCCTTTTTGGCAAGTCCTCTTCCTTCAAGTCAATTCCTAAATCTTTCGCTATAGCAGCCTGCAGATTATATTCATTTTGATCTTCAGGTACTGTAATGAAGTAAACATGTTCATAACATCCTAACAGCTGATTATGAATGTTTTTCATTACAGCAGTTTTTCCTATTCCTTTGATTCCATGCACCCCAATTTTAGTAACTCCATTTCGTAACCACGTAACAATTCTCCTTCTATTCTCATTTGCAGCCTTGCCCACCAGCAGTGTTTCCACGAATTCCACTCGTTCTCTAACAGGAGATAGTACCTCTTCAAATACTCCTAAACTGTAAATATCATCCACCTCTCGAATCAGTCTCTCAACAAGATTACCTAACCAAGCTCGATATAGGAACTTCCAGAAATAATTAGTTTCTCTCAACATATCTTGTAGCAATAACGTTTGTACATCATTGCATTTGGTTCCAGCAGAAGATATCCAATTATCAACTTCTCTTTTTCTCCGCCTTCCTGTCTGAAACTCTTTATCTTCAACCTGCTTTATCATATCATCTAGTCTTACATGTAACGAGTCCCTTCTTTCATGGAGTGTTTGCACGTTGGCGTTGAGATTGTTGTAGAAGTGGATCCACCATGGTAAACTGCCAATGAAGTCCAATGCATCCTTAAACGAACCAATCCCATCTGAGATCTTTTTCAAGTCCAAGCGTTCTGCTCTTAGCAAACAGACTACTGTAATTAACAGCAGCAGCGCTGTGTATACTGCATTAACTGCAAAAGAAAGGAATGTACTAAGAAATTCCCCAGTCCATGCTTTAGATCAGATTTCATAATCCCAAAATTAGAGAAATCCTCATGATTCATTTCATATAGTGGCATATAGAGAAATCCAAATACTATCTTAGGAGGTGTGACAACTATAAAAGTTACAAGCTTACAACTATCCCAGACATTTAATTTCGGATGGAGGGGTAAACTGAACAGTTGTACTGTTGTACATTTCTTATTTCTTGTGTTTAGACATAAAATATTCCAGAGTTGCAAATAATATGAAACGAAGTTAGTAATTGCACTTCCTTTTATTTTATTTTTATGGTTCATACCCGGAGTATTTCACAATCAGCTAAATCAATGTATTAACTTCCAAGAACCAGCATCTTGTAAACTAAAATCAAGATGGGTTTAGCCTCGGATATATTCCTGTAAGACTTAGATAATTTAATACTTTGTAGTCTGTACTACTATTATTCCTCGAAAACTTTACCAACTAAACTAGCTACATCAGCTAGCTCATAACATTTTGCTTTCCCTATAACTGTTGCAACAATCAATATTTGCTCTAGTTGCAAAAAATTTATTGCCTGTTACACCGTAACAGGCATAAATAGCAGAGAATTTAAATGGGAAACCAATTGAATCAAATCTCAAACTCCAGAAATATAAAAACGAACAAAATTAATAATACAGTAAATAACTAACAATTAATTAATATATATAAGAAATTAAAATGCAAAGAAAATAAAATGGTAAAGTACTTACGATATTCAATCATTGGAAACGATCAGTATCTTCCCAAGGGTTGATGAGGAAGAGAGAGAAAGAACAGAAGCAGAATATTTGAGTTTTGAGTTAAAAAAAGAAAAAAAGAAAAAAAAAAAAGTGGACTCTATTACTACTTTAGTAGAAGACATGAGCTTAAATTATTAACTTTGTTGGGAGAGTCAACCTTTAAAGTCTTCTGTCCCAACTTGCCTATGCAATTTACTGCTTCGTACATATTTCCTGGAAGTTACATCAACAATTTAACTTTAGGGAAATGGGTAGCTACTAGCTAGCGATTAAAGGTGACAATCTAGTCGTTTAGATAAGGTTGAGTTTTCGTGTTCTAGATACTTTAGCTCTGATCTTGTTCGGGTAATGAGTAATATAAATAGTTTTAGGTTGAAAAAATGGGTTACAGGTAGGGGTGAGCAAAATCGAATACCCGGTCAATTTTAATGAACCCGGAATCAAACCCAGTTATAACCGGGTCCGAGATTTTGGAACCAGCACTGGAACTGGTTGTAACCGGGTCCCGTAGTGGCGGAACTGATAGGAACTGGTTCCAAGACCGGATACCCAGTTCTTATTTCAATTATTTCCCAAAGTTAAAACTAAATTGCAATACAATTTTAACTACATAATTAATTTCTATAAACCTCAATATATTGATTTGTCACAATTCAGTAAACATTATCAATAAAAAAAAAAAAATCAATAAACGATTATAATTTCACTATGAAATAAAAAAAAAATCCCCAAATATATTCCATTGCTTCATTCTTTGCAATTCTCGAATTATGCAGCTCAAAATAAGAATAATCTCCTAAACTATTGAAAACCTTTACTTGTTAGAGAAATGAGAACAAGTTTTTTAGAGGAAAGAAGTACTGTGAAAGAGGAAAAGAAGGTTGGAGTGAGAATGAAGGTGGCGTAAGAATGAAAGGCTAAGAGTTTTAGGGTTTTGTTTGATAGTGGGTTGAGAGTTTTATAAGCAATTGGGCTTAGAAATTAAAATGGGTTGTAGATAACTCTTTAGTTTCTTAAAAACACAAACAATCCACATACTATGTATCATATCTAACCGGGTACCCAGTGGATACCGGTCCAAAATTTTAGAATTTCGAACTGGAACCGGTACAAACCGGGTTCTTATTTTTGGAATTGGTCCCAGTTGAACTGGTTCCGGGTCCGGACCCACCGGGTCTAAACCAATTCCAGTTCCGAAACTGAGTACCCATAATTTTTGCTCACCCCTAGTTACAGGTGGTAATTTATTGGGTTTGGAATGAGAAATTCACTTCAAGTCACTGATATAAATTAGTAAAATAACAGCATAAATTGATAATTTTTGTCAATCAACCAGGACACAATTTTTCAATTAATTGATCACGGTGGTTTTACATCTACAAAAACCACAATGCCGACGTGCAAGAACTTAAATATAAAAGGAATATATATGTTGTGGGGAAGACGGAATGATCTGATAAACCGAGTTGAACACGAAGAGTCTAAGACTGGAAGGCCTCGAAAGGAAGAAGTTGATGTTTGGTTAAACAATGCTGACCTTAAAATCACTGATTTGGATGAGTGGCTAGAACACATAAAGAGACAAACTACTCGTTATAAGTACTGGAAGTTTCTGTATCACGCGTGGTTAGGAAATCTTGTTGAGCTAAAGAATCAAACAGTAGAGGAGATTTTAAAGAGGTGCTGGTTCGTGTTAACAAAAAAGTGGAATATGCGACAACACCAATGGTTGGTAATGCTGGAAACTTACATATCAATACAATATTGGAATGGTTAGCGAGGGGATCCTCTCATATCGGGTTGTATGGTATCAAAGGAATAGGAAAAACTGCTGTTATGAAGCATTAGAGTTGTTTAAGCAAAAACTTAAACTTGCATCAGAGCTTGAGCCCCCAGTGCACGATGTAGCTAGGGAAATTGTTCGTCGCTGTTGGGGTGTGCCTGGCAAAATTGTTGATAAGGCAAGAGAACTGAGAGGAGTAGATTATGACATTAGGGTCTGGAAGGAAAATCTCAATGACATGTTAGAAGCTGTTCGTTGCAGGATAACCAACCCAGGCCTCACAGGAATGACCAGGAACCAGCAAATGATTAGGATGGCCCTTGACCGGACTCGAGAACGTAGTGCACCCTCTATTTCTCTTTCACTGCCGAGCCATTCTTCATCAGGTACTCAGGTATTCGGGGTGGGTTCAGCTAGCCGGATTTATATGAAATAATGTCTGGAATTTTTGTTTTGTACAACGCTGAAGCTTATTCTATAACATCAAATTTTCATGCTCCAACAAACCAAGTGTTGGCCTAGTAGTAAGGACAAACCAAGACTGCAATTAAGATTTGAAAGAATTGGTAGTTTTCTTTTTTAGTTTCGAAAAATAGTGAAAAAGAAACTTAAAAAAAATTGGTAGAGAAAACTACAAATTCGTTCAAAACTTGATCTTCCAAAAACGAAAAACAAATTTAAGATGTCTTCCAAAGCTTAAATTATAAGGGAAAAAAAAAAAAAAAAAAAATTGAATCAAAACAAAAATCAATATTCAATCAATCAATTTCAAGAGGGAGATTCTGTCTTATACAATCAAAATTTTGAATGAATTACCAATCTTGCATCTATAACAATAAAGAACTACAAATTTATAATATATCATACATTAAATTTTAAAGAGGAAGGTATAGCAGATTAGCAGCATAGGAGATCGTATATAAACAAATACAATGGTCTCATGCCAGTCATGTCACATTTGATTACTTTGTCATTCAAGAAAACATTAACATAGTTATTTTATTGTCAAAAAAGTTATTATTTGAACTACAATCAACCAATATTAGAAGTTTTAATACGTAGTACAATAAAATATACTTGTATTAGAGCTGATATCCAAATGTTAGACAAACACATCGCGTGTTTATAGGGCTAATACATCTTAATGGCAAGAGTGAATTCACATATCAGATGATGTGTCCAGCCACTCATTTACATCAGCTCCTCTTAGTTGGACAGCCATATCGATGATTTTCGATGGTATGCCACTACATTTCTGAATTATATCGCGAGCAACACTCCTAATGTCTTCAGAAAGAGGACTATCTGCTGCTAGTTTCTCCATGAACAAATTCTCTGAGTCCTCTCGAGACAGGGATTCCAACACAACAGTTTCTTGACACAACATTCTTTTACAAACATTAAGACATTGAGATGTCACAATTATTTTCCCTTTGTTTCCTTCCAAAGAGATGCCTAAATCTCCGGGAGCAAAGTCCTTGGGTAATCCGTCTAAAATAAGAACAAATTCTTTCATTGATTTGAATGCTTGGCATAACCTAGCTGCCCTCCTGATTTCACTTCCTTCTGTTTGTGGTAGGTGGTCCACCTTCAATTCTTCCGCAATGCAAGCTTGAAGGTTATAGATACTGAAGTCTGGAGGTACATTAACATAAAAAACACGACAAGATGAGCATAATCGGTTAAAGATATGAGCCATGACAGCAGTTTTCCCAATTCCTGCAGGTCCCTGAACACCAATCCTTACAGTAAAAGGGCTGATGAGATGCCCCCAAATTTCATCCAACTTTTGAACCACAACTGCCCCCTTTAAGTCACTTGTGACTAAAGGTCCTCCACAATCTCGGGGTGCATCAAGTAGAAGTCCCGTAGTAAATGAACCTTGCTGTACAAGATCGTTTACTTGATCGATTTCCTTTCCTATACAACTCCCTAACCATGCACGAAAGAGAAATCTTGGCAAATAACTCACTGTGTTAATATCATCATCAACTTTTCTTACATCAGTAACTTTAGTCTTTACCCTCCTCAACCAATGGTTAACTTCTTCTTTTCGCTTCCTGCCACTCTGATGCTCGATGTTTTTAAGCTCTATTACAACATCAGCTTCCCTACTCTCTAAGAATTCCGTTTTCCTCTTAAGAAGTTGGAGATGATTTTCAAGGTTCTGATTATAGTTAATCCACTCCGGAACTTCACCAATAAATTCTATTATTTTCTTCCCAACTTTGATTCCGTTCCATACAGTCACAGGCTGTATTGTCCCAGTAGCAGTTCCTGCTAATAACAATGTGGACAACTCTCTTGCCATTGCAGCACCTACAAGTCAGTCTGTTAAAATTCAGGACGATAAGTCTACATGGATTAAATTATGATATTGATCGAAAATTTTGTTCTCATAATCATTAGATTCATAACCATTCAAACTTTACACTATAGTTTTTCATATTCAAGAAAACAACTTGTGGAATGGCTTGATATAAATTTGAAACCTCAAATCTTCTTCAACTACAGAAATTTAAGACATAGCATTACAGGAATTTCTATATTTCTTCCTTCCCTAACAATCATTGAAAGTTACATGAAGTAAAGAATTTTGATTGATATTATCACAGACAAATATTCAAGCATTATTCCATAATTTCCTCTTTTATTTAGGTCTCCTACCCTCCTCCACTTATCAATAATCAGTATATAACAACCAATTAACTCAGCTAAACTACAGCGACAAAAGTGTCTCTTAGAGTATCAAGTCCTCTGTCATCTATTTTCTAGCTTGTTTAATCTATCACATAAATTGATAAATATTCACAACTACTTTCTAACCAATAATTAAGGGGATTAGTAATACACAAGCTGATACAATCAACCTATTAACTAGTTTATGTAATGAACTACACAAGATAATGATTAAGTGTAAAACCAGTAAATTATTAAATTACCAGAAAACCTATATAATTTGGTGAAGAGAATTCCCAAAAGCCTTTGCTAAATGTAGAAAGCAACTGTAGAAGATCAAATAAAAAATTTAGCAACATTAAGCAAAAGAAATACAGTATCATTTTTACAAGAACAATCAAATCTTTGAGAAATTCAAACCACAAAAAAGTACAGTATAATAATTCACAATACTTAAAAACTATAACAAATAACTATCAGAAACAAAACTCAAAGCATTAAAAGGCGAAGTAAAAGCCATAGATTATTCGTATTAAATTAGGAAAGGATAAATGAACACAAAATAAAATAAAAATGCTTACAAGATCTAGTGTTGAAGAATTTAAGAATGGTAGCTTGACAAAAGTTCTGGGTAAGATTTAGCAGAAGTAATGAAGTTTTCTCCTGTTGAAGTTGACTTGGAAGTCTTTGAAGCTATTCTTTGTGTTGGGAGGAAATTTCGTCCCAATTACTAGTGGCCTGCCCCTGCCAATTAGAAAATTCAAGTAGAGTTACTTTTTAGTTTATTCCATGCCAAAAATTTTGGGGTGGGGGAAGGGTTTGAGCTGGTTTGGTGAACATGTGTATGCAAAAAGTTTAGTCATTTCAATTTATATACTTCGTACTGTATTGTATAAAGTCAATTTCATAAAAGACAAGTCTTTACACGATTAAGAATGACTAAACTTATTGTATATAATACACCCGTTGCATACAAAATCATACCGTGATTTTTACTTATGGTGCTTTAGTTTGTTAAGTACGAAAAATTATGTGCTTTTAGGGTACTAAACTTGTATCCCTATATAAAAGTCATTAAATATAAGCCAGTACTTGTTAATTTTAAGCAAATATCTTTGAAAGTTAACCCTTTGGGATAAATGTCATTCATATATTCAATACTTGAGTCACTCTTATAAAGCCATACATCTATTTTACTACGTAGTATTTTCTGCTAAACTGATTGTCAAACAAATTGATCAAGATTTAGCAAATGAAATATGTAGTATTTAATATACAACCAGACTTGCATACATTCAAGAGGATTCCCAAAGGCGATCAAGTTGCTTAAGCTTGCATATTACACAATTCATTCAAAGGTTAAGCCATTTGGATTGAAATGTGGAATAAAAAAGGCAATCTAGTACATCAAACTGGACAACTAAAGCGATGCACAAAAACCTACATTACAGGCTCCAATATCGACCCCCTAAAACTTAAAAACCTAGCATATTCCATCAATAGATATAGCTAGCTTTTCCTCCATCCAGCGGCATGGTCAAGCGGTCAACCTGCCTTAACAAAGTGCACAGACAGCAATTTTGCAATCTCCAGGAAACCGACTCTATCCTTCCCGCTAAACAACACTTTCAGCTTCTCATCACATATTATTTCCTTCTTATTCTCAGGATTCTGCGAAAAACAATTTAACAATATAAGCCCGTGTTAAGCAAAGGCCGTGAATAGATCAAGTAAAGAGTACCAGATACTCAAATCTTAATTTTAATAAACCTTTCTGATACATATAATCATAAAGAAAAAGGGTTGCCCTGTGGCAGTAACATTGAAGAAAATAAACATCAGTGTTCACTGACAATGACAAGGAGAGTTCCTAAGACAGACATTCACTTCCTACAATCAATCAATAGCAGCAAAACAACATGCATTTCAAGTGCTATCATTAACCTACAAGTCAGAGCAAATGCAAAAGCAGATGACTATCAAGCAAACAGGGCACAAGAAGTCAAAGAGAAACACAAGCCTCGATACATTCTCAACAAGTAACTACATGGATTATTCTGAAGCTTATAATATGTCTAAAAGCAGACAACTTTATTTTCAGACTTTAGTAACAGATAAATGACACATATTATCAGAAAAACACATTCACAAGCCAGACTGAAACGCAAAAGAGGATGCTGCAAAAAGAAGTCAAGTTCCAAATCTGTTACACTTAACTTAAAAATGCATCTAAATTGGTCAGCTATATGAAACTATATCCACACAAAATCTTGATAAACAATTTCACATGGCAGAAAATAGCAATAGTAGACAACAAAACAACTTCAAGCCTAAAATTACTATTGTTAATTGAAGTATTGAACTGTATTAGCATCAGAATCCTAAAATTGCAAAACCAAGCTAAGTCCTCCATCAACAATTAACTTTGCTAATTGTATCATATGCACATAGATACACCTTCATGAAAAGTAAAATATATAGCTCTATATTGATTCAACATGAATTTGTTTGAATGAATTTTCAATCAGCATAGAGTGTTTCAATCCTTCAGAGAGCTATAGTGGCGCTATAAGCATAGGCATAGGCCATATTAAAAAAAGATCGTATATTAAAAAAAATTCAAAATGCCGATACACATGATATATCCAACAGGGATAAGGGGAAGTTACAGAAATCAAAGTTAACTGGTGCTCCAAATGATAGTAAGCTAAGGAAGATATGCCATAAGGTTAGGAGATTATATTAGCCTCTTAAGTTTAAGCTGATGTTTAAATTCAGATACTTATGTGTATATTCAGTAACAAACACCTTCATGGCTTCATCTTTAGACTGGCAACAGATAAATCATATGATCCAATAATTGCGTATAATGACAAGCTAAGAACTGGAAAGGAAAAGAGAATATACAATTTTCAAATTCATTACATTTTTCAAAACATGATACAAGACAACGTCTCATATAGTCTGCTGCTATTTTGACCAGCAAAAATGATGATGCTTCAACAATAAATATTGAATAATCAATTTGTATCGTAGAAAGTAATAACAGAAGACAAAATAAACTTCAAACCGAAATATACCATTCTCAATTGCACAACAAAGTCCTTTAATTTACAAAATAAAGATAAGTCCTCCATCTAGGATTAAATTATTCAGTCAATTCATATGTCAACGAAACACGACATACCTAAATGCTAACAAAATTTGAATTGAGCTCTAAATTGTATGATTCCAATAAATATCCCAATGGTTATCATGAAAACATCATCCACACAAAGCATGCCAATCCCTCAAATAACTCTACAGTCACTATTACCATCGACATAAATTAAAACTGAAACAATGAAATACATAAAGGTTATCTAAAATGCCTACAAGCCTAAAACATTGTTTGTTTGGTTGAAAAACTACCGATGTGAGACACAGCTCTCTTTCCCATCAACCTTCCAACCAACCACCATATGGTTGCATGTAAATCTTACGTAATTCAAGAGGGAATAAGCAATTAAAGGCATTCTATACATGGTATTATCAGTCCAGTCAGCTACTCTAATTTTCATGTTATGTACATGTCAATGAAGTAACAATGTGATATTACTCGTCAGTTTTCAATATCATTATGCCCATACTATTATGCTACTTACATTATCAGTCCAGTCAGCTACTCTACGTTCATGTTATGTACATGTTGATGAAATAATAATGCGATATTACTGTCAGTTTTCAATATCGATGCAACAGCCAGTATTCGTGAGGACGACAACCTTAAATCCACTCATTTTGAAATGGAGTATACATATATACATATCAAAAGAAGAATATCACAAACCCAACCAGAAGCAACTAGAAAACACCTCAACACATCTCCCACCATACTAAGCTATAAACCCTCACATTCTCCTCAATCAACAAACTATAACACAAATTTTGCAACAAACAAAATCAAATTAACATTCAAAACCCTAAGTCCTACTATCCTTCATAAATTATCAAATCACAACCACAAAAACAAAAGGCATTTAACATTCAGTAACCATGTAATTATAAACAAGACATATGCATTAAACACAAATAGTAAACCCCAAATAATCTTCCTAATCAACATTTTAACCATCAAAGGAAACCCTAAAACCAATTAATCAAAATGTGACTAATTTTCGGACAATCAAACCTAAAACCCTAAACCCTAAACAAAGCAAAATAAAAAAAATCAAATCAAAATACCTGAAGATTGTGAAGCTTGATGTAATCCCAAACCTTCTTAACAACTTCGGTTCTAGAAGCTTCGTTAGAGCCAATGAATTGACTGAGAGTAGGAGAAACAGGTACAGGCTTCAAAATACCCTTAGTAGCGCTAGCAGCAGAAACGGGCTTCGATTTTTTAGCAGCAGTCGTCTTGGTAGCTGAAGATTCAACGGAAGCAGCAGTGGAGGTCTTCGCGGCCGCCATTAGAGCTCTGCATTTACCTCCGATTGCCCTCAAAGTCGCCATTAATGAAGAACTATGAAGCTGAGAAAAAGAAGAAAAAAAAGTACAAAAATTGCAGATATATAAATGGTGGGAAATGATGAAATGAGAGATGAGTTTAGAAGAAGGACGAGGAGCAATGGAGGAGAGAGAAAATGGTACCTTTGAATAGTAAGCAGGTAAAGATGAACGGCAGACTTGTGGAAACGGAAACTGGGTAACTGAGAACTCAAATGAATTGAGGGGTTTAATTGTTGAGTTTCAAATAAAATAGTGTTGATTGTAACGGTAATGGCTTTAATGTGGGCTAATGGCCCATTTTGGTTTGTGATTTAGAATTCCTTTCCTGCAAATATATAAGGCCGTGCTCGACTAACATCTTTTATACACTTGAGTGTATATAGAGATAGATACAGGTGTACCTAAGGATGAATATTTTTACCTTTTTCTTTTTACTCATTTTAATATTTTAAAATAAAAAAAATATTAAATGAGTTCAATATATATCCTCGACGGTAGCTTTTTAGCAGGTAAGTGGGTTAATCAAATCAAAACATTTCTTAATTAAAAAAATGCATTTGGGAGAGTAGTGGAGTAATTTGAATTCATTTGAGTTTAGGTCTTGTCATCGACTCTTTAATTGAACTCAATGACTCTTTATTTGAAATATCGACAGAGATTGTGAAGGTTACTACTTGAAAGATGTGAAGGCATCGAAATCACTGCTTAAATCAAACTTATAGTGATAGTGTATGAGCTATCGAGAATGCAGAATAATAACGATATTAAATTTAAAGGAAATTTTTTTTTTCTCTAACTATTGGTTTACGAATCTATAGTCGTATCATCACGGTAAGTTTATAAATGTCGTATGACTAATTATTAATGATATTATTGCATATTAGTAATGTTAGACTATCTAGAAGGACCGTTAGTCGAGGACGAGGTAAGTGTTTGGGTAGGGGTTGATGAATGATGATTGGTGTAGACTGAATTGAGTGCATTATGGGCTGATGAGGATGGTCCATATATATAGTAGGGGAAGTTTATAGTGGGTAGCTGTGGGCTTATGAAGAAGGCGGCCCAGAAGACTGAAGTTGAAGTGGGTTGTTAGTTCTTTGATCCATTATGGCTGATTAACGCAACTGTTGAAGGACAATAGGATGCAAACCATCATCTTATTCATCTAACAATGATAGGAAGTGGTCAAGTGGTAGAGGGAGGATTATTTTTTGAAAAAGAAAATTTTTTTGAAAAAGAAACAGGCTTTTTCGTACTTCGTATTATTTGTCGAGAAGTAATGATTTTTTTTTTTTTCTATTTAAAAAGTCTTGGTAAATTGCTCACATCTCCTTCATTACACCTCGAAATTGGGCTTGCGATTTATCAATACAATGCTTGTTTTAAGGGCTAACCAACCCTGTAAAGTTCATGAACAAAATTGTAGGCTTATGGACCTTATGAGACTAGTTTTGGTCTTATTTGGCCATTTAAGAGCTTATATAGTTATATGCATAGTTATTAGAATTAGGATTCTACCTTGGAGTGGGGTAGAATCGAATCGTAGAATTGTACGATTCTACAAAATTGAAAAATTGGGCTTCAAAATGTAACTAATGATTACATACATAATTTTCAAGCAATGAGAATGATAATAATATATATTGTTGATAACATAATATCAACTATACAAACATAAAATAGTTTTAGAAGTAATTCCGCTCACGCATAACTCAAACAATACACTAGAATGTCAGAATAAGGGTAAATATTCTTAGTCACGAGAGTACGAGACAGTTGTTGTTAAATTATTAAAAAAAATAACGTTGTTAACTCCTAAAATTGTTTCCCCTAATAAAAGATCCGATGATAATAGAATACCAAGTGTCAAGTTAGTTCATGTCAAACAGATAGTTAAAGAATGACAACTACAACAAACTCATGTTATAAAAGTGTTTTTTATATGCCCAAAGTTGAGTGCATAAGACTCATGAATATATCCTTTTGCCCCAAAAATTTAAATAGTTAAATAAAATTTTAAAATTCTTTAAATTGATGTTTTATAAGCTTAATTATGATTTATATTGAATAATATATAAGTCGCTGACTAAAGTTAGGCTTAACTATGACACCCTTACACTCTTTAGGTTATAACATAAAATATATAAATGATATGGGTACGGGAATAATTCTATTAGAAAGTAGACCTCAAGAGCTTTCCAACGATATATTATAAGCCTAATTCCAACTTCGTAATTAAAAGTTATGGGTTTCGAAAAATCAGACTTTTGCAGGAGTGGAATCGTTAGAATCGGTAGAGAATCGTGGAATCGGTCCGATTCCACCGATTCTATCAATTCTTTGACCGATTCTAACGCACAACAATTTTACCGACGATTTACGTCGTTTGAGTGGATTGGGATCGTACAATTCTACTATCCGAATTGTGATTTTAAAAACATTGGTTATATGTATGCCCTTAATTTCAACATTCATAAAATGTTTGATTTTGTGACAAATGAATTTGATCCCTAGAGTTTAATATTTATTGTCATTGGCTTTTTATGAATATACAAAAAGCTTATCATTGAGTCTTTGACTAACATTTAATAAAAGCAAAAGGTCAAAGTATAGACAAATTAGGACTAGAAATGGTTTAATTTGATCTACAATTTCATAAAATTCTTCGTATGCTGCTATTTGCACATAAAAGTATTGACAAATAGGGACTAAAAATGGTTTAATGTTTTATTTTTAATTTGCAATACATTAGCAAGAGGAACAATGTCTAATTCTTGCTACCTACTCCATATACTCCATAATAATTTCAAAGGTTAAATTATAAGTAAATTGCAAAGTAAGTTGGCCAAAAAGAAAATTTCACGGTAGTGACAAATATAGCAATAATGTCCTAAAGTTTTCCATCAACAAATGGGATAGGTTTTGGTAATTTAGTGTTTATCTTTTTGTTAGGACTTTGTATGTTTCTTTAGGTGACTTTATTGTCAATTTGTTAAATTTGTCGCCATGTTTTTGGTCTCATGAATCTATTCAAACTTTTGGCATTTAGTGACAATCCATACTTGTATAATTTCAAAAAAAGTCAAACTTGAACAAGATTGAAACAATAAAAATAAATAAAGAACACCCTATTCTACTAAACTTATGTTTGAAATTGATTAAATCAACTTGCATTATAACTTAAGACACTTTTTTGAAAAAAAAAAAATTGTACCTTTTTTTTTTTAATTATGTGAAACGTTCTGAGCTTTTGCACTATTCACCTAATCTAATACGGTAAGTATGAATCATAAGTAGTATGTAGATTATTGTTTTCAATAATTATATCTGTGATATTATATATAATTTATAGACTGTATAGATTAGTACTTTAGAGCTACAATTTTTTTATAACTTAAATATAGTTTGGAGAACGGCTAATGAAATGTTTTTGTAATTTAAGCTTGGAATTTTGTGAGTTAGGTAAAATACAAACTAGGTACACTTTCAATTCTTTTAAGCCTTAAAAATTAGAATACAACTGATGATTGATTTATTATTATTCAATCAAGGTTAGGCAAACCAGGACTTTACAATTTATAATAGTCAGATGTTGACTTTGAATAAAGGAAAAAAATATATATAAAAATGAAGATAAGTTCAATATATGTAATACAGGTTTGGTTTATATCCATGCAATGCCAGGAGGAGGAGAAGAATTAGACTACTCATACCGAAAAAATTACATAAGATTTCATCCCAAACTAATTGGCTATGAGTTACCCGGGGAATAGCTATGACAAGTATTTGTGGCTCGGGTGATGTTCCAGTTTTTTAATTTGAACATAAAATAAAGGAAATCTGATACAAGTAAAATATAGTTGAGTTAGGATTGCAAGCATAATTGAATTGAAATATTAGATAAGATGGTAAGATTTTTCTACCTATTACTCCGTATGTTTTATGAGTTTGAGCTCTATAATAAGGCTTTTTATCTCATAAAAAATGTATGTATAGTATTTGAGAGGATAATGTGGCATGTTTATAGTGCATATATATATTAGAGGGGTTCAGTGTTACTTGACACATTTTTTTCACGAACGGTTTATTATATGTAGAACAGTTCCTATAATATAGAACAGTTCAATTGTGATCAACATATATGTGATCTTTTGCTTGAGTTGATATATGAGGCACAATTGAGAAATATTGATGTAAACATGCTTGAAATACCATCATTTCAATTATTACTAGTACTGAATATCATTTTGATTGCAATGGCAATAACAATTCATTCTCACGACGTTTATTAACACTACATAGTTTACATTATTTACGTTATATTTGGTTCAAAATCAAAACCCTCTGATCTACATACTTGAAATTGTTGTTGAATACGGAGTACTTCGTATATAACAGATACTAGCAATATAATAGCTAATCTAGCTGAGATTGTGTAATTCACTGATTCTATAAATTAAAATAACCCTAATGAGAGAATAAATATAGGGAGAAGAGAAGTTCTAGATCACAATACATTCTTCTTAAAGTTCTTACTATACTACAAAAAAAAAAAAAAAAAAAAAAAAAAATAAAGAGAGAGAGTAATAACACGAATCAGTTATATATTATCCCGTCGTAGATGAAAATTACAAATGTAGGATATGAACATACATACACTCAAAGTAGAGGATTTAAAGATACAATGAAAGTACTCCAAACAGTATGAAAAGAATCAAAGATAATGGAGGCAAAATTAAAGCAACAAAAAGAATGAAGATACACTACTGAGTTGTTACTATATTAGTGTACTTTTTAGAATCCAACTAACAAAATAAAAGCAAGAATATAAATGTACTCTATAATCTAAACAGTTGATAAAATATCTTCCTTTTTTTGGTGCCAGATAATTTTATTTACTTTTTGGTAAATTATTTACAACCTACTTCCCTTTACTCACCCTTAAGTTGCAAACTTTAAAGCCTATTGCCGCGTTTTTTGGCCATTTATTTATATGACCCAGCTTTTTATACGTATGTCATTAATGTGAATGCAACACAATTTCTAAAAGGGTTTTAACTAATAACGGTTCATTGACGGTGATTATCCAAATTATTTCTTTGTTTGCGTCTTTTTTATTTAATTTTTTTGGTGTATATATGAAGAAGCAAAAGAAACAAATGTGGATTGAGTTCAATCTAGCTAAGGTTGTATCGAAACGTTGATCTTTCTTAGATGGATATAGTAGTAGGATTGGTATAAAATAAATGTTGATCTTTTTCGATGATGGGTAGTAAGATAGGTACAAAATAAATGTTGA